TGCTTTTGTCTTGTTCTGGTCTACTCCTCCTCGTCCGCCTCCGTCTCTTCTCCCGTCACCTCCCGAGTTGTCCCTTACTGCCTCCTTTGATCCTATCACTGACTACTTCCGCAAGTCTCGTCCTCCAGCCAAGGACTCATGTATGGTGTCTTGGAGATCCACATGCACTTACATCGACGCAGTTCCCCTTTCTTAGATTAACATAGTCGATGGCATGTGAATCTTCAAGGTGAAGCGGCCGCCTGAATCGCCGCCTGTCTTCAAGGCGTGCTACGTGGCTAGAGGCTTCAGACAGCGTGAGGGAGTTCACTTCTTCCAGACATTTACACCGACCCCGAAAAATGACTACTCTTTGGGTGTTACTTCATGTTGCATCACAGCGAAACTACGAGCTGCACTCCCTCGACTTCTCCACTACCGTTCTCCAGGGCCGTCGACTTCTCCACTACCGTCCTCCTAACTTCACTGGTACTTTCCCGCATGGGACCCAGTGGAGCCTGAAACGACCAGTCTACGGTCTCCGCCAGGCGCCCCGTGAGTGGGACGACACTAAGCGCTCCACACTTGCTGACTTGGTTTCAGACCTTCTACCGCCGACCCGTTGCTGTTCGTTCGTTCTGGGCCCACACCTTTCTTCGTCCTCGTCTACGTCGACGGTTGGTCTTCGCTATGGCAGACATGGTTGCTCTGGTTGAGGTGAAGTCCGAACTGCAGAAGAGACACGCGTGCACTGTCCTTGGTGAACCGCGCTCCTACCTTGGCTTTCAGATCACCAGGGACAGAGCCACTCGCACCATCACTCTAACTCAGTCATACATGGTGCAGCAGGTCCTTCAACGGTTCAGGTTTCAGTTCTCTACCGCACAGCCCACTCCTCTTTCCGTTGACCACAGGCTCACCGCTCCTGTTCCTGACGAGCCCATTAAGTATAGTGGTACCGATGCTAAGCTAGTGGGTTGCCTCATGTACCCGATGACATATACTCGTACGGAACTCGCTTATGCTCTCAGCATCATGGCTCACTTTGTTGCGACTGGGAGACACTGTCCTGTTCACTGGACGGTAACTGTGACGGTAGCGAAGTATCTGGCCACTACGAGGTGACTGATTTTTAGCACGTATCAAAACGCGACTGTGGACCCCTTGCCTCACCTCTGCGAGGTGACGGTAACTGATTTTTATCACGTATCAAAACGCGAAATTCCGCTGTAGGAACAAGCTTTTGCCACACGTTCACGTCCGAGGCACGTTTGAGAAAGGCTCGGCAACGTTGGCGAACCGCATGGCATCTTGAATGCCAACACACCCACCAAGCCCCCCGCTTGTGGACCCCTTGCCTCACCTCTGCGAGGTGATGGGGACGTGGGGTGCCTGAGGTCTCACGTCAATCACTCTGCCGAGCATTGCTACTCCCTCGCCATTCCGTTCCTTCAAGCACTCAGATCTGAACTGAAGGGTTTAAACACCCTTCGTCCGCCATGGCTCCCTTTACGAAGAAGCTGCTTAGGCACTCATCGTAGCTACACCAAGATGTCTGCCTTCGAGAGCCCGTGGCGTTCACGTCGCGCGAGCGTTAACCGTTCTCCAGCTGCTGCGCAAAGTATTCTGATTACATCGCTATCCCCACCTGCTCCTCCCGCTCCACCTCCTCCGCCTCCTCCTCCAGCACCCCCGGCGGTACCACTTGTTTTTTCTTGGGTTCCTGTAAGAGTATGAACCGCTCTATGGTGAGGAATTGGAGGTTCCCAACGATGAGGAAGTAAAGCCCGACATGTCAGACGATTCCAATGATCCCACTGGCTTCAACGTCCCGACCTTTCTTGACGAGATTCTCCACGAAGACTCCACGCCATTGGTGTCACGTGACCCCCTCCCTCCCGAGCCCAGCAACAAACCTACGCAGCATCGTCGAGTGGCGCGTACTATGGCGGAGAAGGTGGGCTGGCTGGTGTGGATGAAAGAAGAAAATATTTCTGTCCGCCACACGTCTCGACTCTCTGGTGTGCAGGCAGTAAGTGTGCACCGTTGGATTAAAGCCACCGAGGAGTTCAAGAAGGCCTCTGGATGCAGGAGTCATCTTGGTGGGGGAGGCCATGAGGCCAAGTACCCGGACATGGAAAATGCAACATACCGCAAGTTCCTCGCCTTCGTACGCGTGGGCTGGCGGTACCGATCAAGCTGATCCAGCAGTGGAGCAGGACTTGGATGGTGAAGAATCGTCCTGACGTGGACTGGAGTTCGTCCTCGCGCTGGACATTCCAGTTTTGCGCTTAGTGGGGGCTCTCCATCCGCGTGAAGACGAAGTTGGAGCAACGTCTCGCGAAAGGAAAGCAGCATCTACCTGGGTAATGTTGATGTCACACTCGACCGCAAGGCAAACTAACTGACTCTTGCTTTTGTGCGCGGAGAGTGCAAGCCCAAGTGCATCAGTTTCTGGACATTCGTGAGGAAGAACGTGATCAAGCACGAGAACGATCCATGGAACATGATCAACGCGGACCAAACACCCGTTTTCCTTTAGATGTCGTCCGACCGCACCTTGCACCACCGTGGCGAACGCTCTATCCACGTCCCCAGTGCCGGGTATGAAAAGGAGAGGGTCACCATCATGCTCGGTGTGACGGCGACCGGAGAAAAGTTGCCGCCAATGGTCATATTGAAGCGCAAGACCATCCCGAAGATTCACGTCCCTCCCGGTAAGTGAACTCCGCCTTGTCCTTTAACGCCGTGCCCATGAACCACTCTATAACTAACCCAAATTCGCCCTCCCACGTTTAGGTATCCTCATATGCTCTGAGGAGCGTGTCCGGATGGACGCTAAACTCGTGGACGACTGGGTGAAGTATATCCTTCTCCCCTTCGTCAAGCCGCGGCTAGGCATCATAAGGTCCAAGACCCTCCTGGACTTGGACTCCTGCCACGGCCATCTAACAGATGGCGTGATGGGGAGTCTTGCTGGCACAACATCGTGCCAACAATCATCCCGGTGGTTGCATGCCGCTGCTGCAACTGCTCGATGTGGACATAACCGCGCGTTTAAAGCGGGGTTGCGCAAGCTCTACAGCGATTGGTTCGTGGAGTATGACGCCAACTCCTTCACCCCTGCATGTAAGAACTTGCTGATATGTTTGTGCCCATCAATCACTGCTATACACCCTGCTGCCTTTGGTGTGTGTTTGTGATGTTTGACCCCTGTTCTAATCCCTTCCCCTTGCTCCGTAACTCTCAGGGAAGATGGGAGATGGCGTAAGGGGGTGGCCGCCGTGAGCCCTCTGCGCGCCCCACCACCACGCCTCACCCGCGGCTGCTGCTGTGGGAGGGGGAGGTGGTGGGGACGGGAGAAGGAGGTGAGGGGCTGGCGTGAGTCAGCCGGTAGCTCGACCGCCCCCGCTCATCCCCTCTTCTCTCTCTCTCCCGGCCGCACCTGCTGCCGTGGGGGGGAGGGTGAGGGGGTGGCGAGAACGTTCAGCAGCCGCCCCTAACCTCTTCCTCCTCCTCATCCTCACTCTTCCGCTGTTTCTTCTCGCTACTCCTCCTCTCATCTCCTTCTCATGCCCCCTCTTTCTTGTCTTTCGTTCTCTCGTTCTCCTTTTTTTTGGTGCAACTGCTGCCTGCTGCTGGCTCGCCCCCGGAGGTGCTGGGCCGTGTTGTCCTGCTGCTCGTTGCAGCCACAGCGCCTGCTCTCTCGCCCACCTACCATCGTCTGCACCCGCCGCTGCTGCATCTGCCGTGACTGAGGTTACTGCAGCTCTCAGCCTTGGTGTACCCCTTCAGGGGGTTTGGCTTGCTCTAGCTCTTTGCTGCAGGCAATTAGGGGGTGTGTCGTGAAATACACATATATATACATATATATAAATATATATAACTGCCTGTAGCTACAGCTTTAGTAGAGTTATTACATTTAACCCTATTGGTGGTGCACCCTCCTGCCTTGTTTCCCTATTTGTACCTCGCTCAATAGTGAACTCAACCTCTTTGGCCAATCCTTCTCGACATGTTCCTCTCGTCACTCTAGCCTACCCCAAACCCTAGGTTACAAAGGCCTTCCTAAGTTTTGACCGTTTAATGACATTCTCCCTCTAGTCTCATCATCTATTCTCTATTACTCCATATTTTCCTTAGTAGTTGAGAGAGCATGCCCTAATGGCCACAATGACTTCGGAAGCATATTGTCAAAGCCCCCATCTAGCTCCTCCAGATGCGGCACTAGACCGAGGTGCTTTAAGAATGATGCACACGGGTTGCACTTCTGCAAACGCTTCAGTAAATAAAGTTGAGGAACGCTCTTGAAGCTGACTCGTGTAGCTGATAGGTCTAAGGCCTATAAGTGTGGCATGCTGTGGCTCCACCCACTCACGTTTGAAGCCACATCCACGCTGCATCCAGCCAGCCCCAGATGCATCCGATATCCCTCATAATAGTGCCGGTGATGTGGAGTGTTTAGGCATGTGAGTGCTATGAGGGCTATGAGGCCGTCATCGCTGCGAGACATCCCATGTATGCCAAGATGCTGCAAGCCCTGCATCACACCCACCACCTGCCACACACTGCCATACACACACAAGTGCTTGGGGTTATTGAGCCCTAGGTCACAAACTCGATAGATTTTTGGAGTGGGACGCTGGCAAAAATGGAGATATCAAGCAGCAAATCCGAAAATGCAGCTCCAGGTGACGGTCTTTCAGATTGGCTGGCGCCACCTGCAGGCATGTCAGCCCGGTGAGGCCTATGAGGTGCTTCAAGCCGTGGAAAGTCTGTCCCTCGTCGCACGTGCAGGAGAAGGCCTAAAGATGCTTCAACACGGCCACCCTGGCACAGCAGTGAGGGCGTATCTTCACTTCGGGTCATGGCACTGTTTGGGTCATCCGAGATTCTTGGACGACCAATAATGCGCATTTTAGCTACACTACTGAAATATCATTGGTCCCCTCATGACCCAAAGTGTACAGTGATGACCCAAACAGTGCCATGACCCGAAGTGAAGATACGCCCTGAGTTTCTCACACAGGTGATATGCAGCTCCCTCTACCATTGTGCCCCTTATGCATCTCGTCCCCTTTGCACTGGCTGTGTTTGCAGCCCATCCCATGCACTCCACCTGCCACTCCCACCCTCCTCTCTCTTTCCCACATGCTGCCCGCACCCTGCTCCCCCCTCCTTTCCCCCGCCTCACACATCCCCCTCATGCACCCTCCAGCACGTCCGCCTAAGCCCCCAGAGCCCACTCCTACCCCCCTCTGAGCGGGTGTGGCTGCTGGGAGGCATGCCGGGGTTGGGGCTGAGAGGTTAGTGGCAGCATTCAGTGGGCGATACGAAGTGGTGAAAGTACAAGGATGGAGAGGAACACGGAAAGGAAGCATCGTATGAGAGTTGTGAGCAGTGAAGGGGCAGTGTAGGGGTAGTGTAGGGGCAGTGAAGGGGCAGTGAAGGGGCAGTGAAGGGGCAGTGAAGGGGCAGTGAAGGGGCAGTGAAGGGGCAGTGAAGGGGCAGTGAAGGAGCAGTGAAGGGGCAGTGAAGGGGCAGTGAAGGGGCAGTGAAGGGGCAGTGAAGGGGCAGTGTAGGGGCAGTGTAGGGGCAGTGAAGGGGCAGTGTAGGGGCAGTGAAGGGGCAGTGAAGGAGCAGTGAAGGGGCAGTGAAGGGGCAGAGAAGAGGCAGTGAAGGGGCAGTGAAGGGGCAGTGTAGGGGCAGTGAAGGGGCAGTGAAAGGGCAGTGTAGGGGCAGTGATTGGGCAGTGAAGGGGCAGTGTAGGGGCAGTCTAGGGGCAGTGTAGTAGCACGAAGAGGGAATCACTCGTCTGGTGGAGAGAATTCTCATTGCCACTCTCATCATCACCCGCTAGTCTCATCACTACTATCTTCACTGCTATAATCACTATCATAACTACTGCTCTTAACACTACTCTCATCGCTACTTTGCTGAAACACAGCTTCAGCAACTCCTGCCTGCACCAAATCATAGTTGTCACCAACTTTTTCTGCTATTGCACCCCTCATCTCTCCCTCACGCTCTTCCTCATCCTCCTTCTCGTCATCCTCCTTCTCCTTCTCCTTCTCCTCCTCTATATCTTCATCCTCCTCTCTATCTTCATCCCCCCCCTCCTCCTCATCCTCCTTCTCCTTCTCCTTCTCCTCCTCCTATATATCCTCTTCCTCCTCCTCCAAGCCAACCTGCTCCAACCAACCACCCAATACGTGTCTCGCCCACAGCCCACGCACGTACCACCTCACTTTCCGAGCCTTCCCTCTCACGGCCTCCCCATGGGGTGAAAGGGTGTCCAGGTGCTGCCAGGGAACACACACGAGGGGACGTGCGGTATGGGCTAGGGGAGTAGGATGAGAAAAGGGGATATGTGGGCGGGATGGGGAGCGAATGGGATGGGGGAATAGCATGGGGAAAGGGGAAGGCGGAATGAGACGGGGGAATGGGATGGGGGAAAGGGATGGGAAAATGAGATGGGGGAAAGGGATGGGGGAACAAGATGGTACAAGAAAGGGATGGGGCAATCAAATGGATGGCAGGTGCACTGGAAGGTGATGGGATGGTGGGAACTGGAAACTTATGGTATGCGCGGCGGCACTCCCTCATGCTGCACTCACCTCCCTCATGCTGCACTCACCTCCCTCATGGTGGAAGATGTGCTGCAGTCGAGCCATCCGCCATGGGAGCTCGCTTGCGCCCTGCACTGCCTCTATCCCCTGCTTGAAACACAAGGCCATGAGTGGGCGGGCACTGGCTGAATGCAGCTTGAGAGGACACAGCACCGCCTCCAGCAGCTTCAAAGGGCTAATCCGCCTCCACTGAGCAGCGAAGCAGCTCCTCTTGCTGCAGTATCATCCGCACCTTCTCCTCAACCACCACCTCAAGCCCCACCACCACCCTCGCTGCCTCCTTCAATGCTGATTTCAGCTCCTCGTTGTGCCTCTCCGCCTTCACTAGAGCCTCACTCGTTTTCTTCTCCACCTCTCTCTTTTTATTCGTCTCTTCCTCTCTCGCTCTTCTTGCTTCTTCTATCACTCGCTTCGTCTCTTCGTCTCTTACTCTTTTCCTCTCTTCCTCTCTCTCCCTCTCCCTCTTCTTCTCTCCCCCTCTCCCACTCTTTTTCTCTCCCCCTCTCCCTTTCCCTCTCTTCCTCTCTCACTCTTTTTCTTTCTTCCTCCTGCACCCTTTGCCTCTCTTCCTCTCTCTTTCTCTTCCACTCTTCCTCTCTCAACATATTTCTTTCTTCTTCTCTCTTCCTCTCTCCCTCTCTCACAATCTCTTGCTCTTCCCCCCTCACTCTCTTCCTCTCTTCCTCTACCACTCTTCTCCACACTTCCTCTCTCAACCTACTTCTCTCTTCGTCTCGCTTCAACTCTTCCTGTCTCGCCATATTTCTCTCTTCTTTCTCTTTTCCTCTCGTCCTCCCTCACCCTTTCTCACTCTTCCTCCCTCACCCTCTTCCTCTCACTCTCTTCCACACTTCCTCTCTCACCCTGTTTGTCTCTTCCTCTCTCTTTCGATCTTCCTGTCTCACCCTGTTTCTCTCTTCTTCTTTCTTCCTCTCTTCCCCTTTCACCCTCTCTCGCTCTTCCTCCCTCACTCTTGTCCTCTCCTCCTCTCTCATTTTCTTCCACACTTCCTCTCTCAACCTATTTCGCTCGTCTTCCCTGTCAAACATTATACATGTTTATATTGTGTAGGCTATAGTGGGTTTAGCCTTAGGGGGTACAACATTGCTAGGGTTTCCTACTTGTATCACCCTGCTGCCTAGTTCATTCATTCTCGTTCAGTTCTACATTCTAACATGGTATCCGACGCCTAGGTCAGGACCTAGGACCGACGTTGGTTAGGGCCCACCGTTCCGCCGCGCCCTCGCGCGACCGTGTCTGATAGTACCTCGCGCCGTCGTGCGCCCCTACCCGCGCCGTCGAGCGCCCTTACTAGCGCCGTCGAGCGCCCCTTCTAGCGCCGTCGTGCGCCCTGTTGCTAGTTGCGCGCTGCCCACTAGCCTCGCACGCAGCCCCTCGCGGCCCCGTGCAGCCCCGTGTGCCGTCCGCCTGCCTACCCGCGCCCTCGAGCGCCTTCCTACCCGCGCCCTCGAGCGCCTGCCTACTCGCGCCCTTGAGCGCCTGCCTACCCGCGCCCTCGAGCGCCACTTTGCCGCCCTGCCCTGTAGGCCGCGCGCGGGCCTGCTCTGCACCCGCGCAGCCGCCCCTGGACCCCGAGGCGCGGCCCCTGGACCCCGCGACGCGTCGCCCTGCTCGTCGCGACGCCTCTGCGGGACCCGGGCGTCGCCCCTGCCTCGTCGCGACGCCCCTACGGGACCCGCGCGTCGCCCCTGCCTCGTCACGACGCCCCTGCGGGACCCGCGCGTCGCCCTTGCCTCGTCGCGACGACCCTGCGGGACCCGCGCGTCGCCCCCGCCTCGTCGCGGCGCTTCTGCAGGACCCGCGCGCGTCGCCCCTGCCTAGTCGCGACGCCCCCGCGCGACCCGCGCGTCGCCACTGGGACCCGCGCGGAGTCGCCCCTGCTCGCCGCGGTGCCCTGCCCTACCCCGCGCCCGCCCTTGGGACGGCCGCCCCTGGCCCCTGGAGCAGCCGCCACTGCAGCAGCCGCCCCTGGCCCCTGGAGCAGCCGCACCTACAGCCTCCCCTGGACCCTGGAGCAGCCGCCCCTGCAGCAGCCGCCCCTGGCCACCCGGAGCAGCCGCCACTGCAGGAGCCGCCCCTGGCCCCTGGAGCAGCCGCCCCTGGCCCCTGGAGCAGCTACCGTCGCGGCCCGGCCCTGCCCTGCAGCAGCTGCGGCGGAGCTCCCTGCTGCAGCCCGGCCCCGCCCTGCAGCTGTAGCGGCCCCGCTGTCGCCGCCGTCTTGCGCCTGCCCTTCCCACCACTGGTGAGCACTGCCCTGCCCGCGCTGCTACCGCTGCTACTGCTGCTACTGCTTTTACTGCTCCCACTGCTACTGCTCCTGCTGCTACTGCTGTTACTGCCGCTACTGGTACTACTGCTGCTCCTGGCGTGGCCAGATGCAGCTCCAGGACCGTGCGCGTGAGTCCCTCACGCCCCAGCAGCTTCGTGAGTGGTACGCTAGTTGGGGCTGTCGGGGTGCCCGTAGTGGGAGTTGCTCTGGAGTGGGTAGTTCGGGAGCTTCTGGTAGTGGACAGGTGCAGCTGCAGCGTCGTACCCGCGAGGCTCTTTCGCCCCAGCAGCTTCGTGAGTGGTACGCTAGTTGGGGCTGTCGGGGTGGCCGTAGTGGGAGTCGCTCTGGAGTGGGTCGTTCGGGAGCTTCTGGTAGTGGCCAGGTGCAGCTGCAGCGTCGTCCCCGCGAGGCTCTTTCGCCCCAGCAGCTTCGTGAGTGGTACGCTCAGAGTAGCGGGTCACTGAGTCCTGCTCGCTGCCCGTACGTCATTCGCACAGGTGTCCGGACTGGTCAGCCTTGCGGGACACCTAGTCACACAGAGTCCCGCTGCTTCGCCCGCCTGAGCGACGCTTGGCATACAGAGTTTGGCGACGACGCTGAGCTCCCCTCCTGGTTGGAGCTGCTTAGACAGAGGGTAGATATCTTTGCTCTTGACTATGATGCTCTCCTCACTGCCATGTATGCATTGTCTACTAGTGCTGAGGGTGCCTGTCACCTGAGTGTGCCGCCTGACCCCGGTATCCAGTCTGCTGCTCTAGCGATAAAAGTCCCGCAAGAGGTCGGAGGCAAACTCACCACCTCTGTCAGAGTGCAGACGCAGGACACGAAGGTCCTCGTGGAACCGCTCGCGGAGCTGGAGACGGACAGCGCGGATCCAAGGGATCAAAACATCAGGGACCTCCCCCTTGCTGCGCAAGAGGAAGACCGTGGTGTAACGCGAGTAGTCGTCAACAACCAGCAGATAGTATCACTCGCGACCCTGTCCATGGACGCGGGCTGGGCCCCACACGTCCATGTGGAGAGTCTGCAGGGGAGCAGTTGTCGGGGGAAACGAGGAAGAGTGAGGAGTGTCGCGCTGCCGCCCCTCGACACAGGGAAGGCAGGGAGGGGTAGGCAGAGACCTGGGAAGACCAGAGACAAGGAGGCGGGAGTGCATGCCACGGAGGCGTGGCAGGGAGGGGTGACCAAGGCGGTGGTGCCAAAGGAGAGTCTGGTGCGACAGGAGGTGACACGAGCAGGGGGCTGCTACCGGACCTGACGCGGACACCTGACCAGATGCAGCTACCTGAGGAGGCTCAGTAGTCAGTGTGTACAGACTCGACCCAAGCCGATGGGTGAACGTGGCCAGGTGACGGCCCGTCCGTGTACACGTGCAGATCGATACACGCTGAACCCCAGGAGTGGTGGTAGTGACCATCGCATCCTGGAGGTCAGAGGCACTCACCAAGTTCGTAGAGAACGAGGGGAGGTGAAGACCTGAGAGTGAGCCGGACGGAACCTCCAGACACGGGAGAACAGTGGAGAAACGGGCAAGAACTGGGCCCCCTGAGGGGTCAGCCAGTCTGACTGCAACAGGTGCATGGAGTGGTGTGACTGTGGTACTGTCGCGAAAGAAACAGCGGGAAGCACCTGAGTCAAGCGTGAAGGTGTGCAAGGCCTCAGCAGGTGCAATACCAGGGAGAGCAGACTCACTAGCACCTAGAGCAGCAGCCTCTATACCTGGGCCGGGCGGCACACACAGGTAACAGTCACCCTCAGCACTAACAGTCAAAGCATACATGGCAGCAAGGATAGCGTCATAGTCAAGAGCAAAGATATCCACACCTGTCTAAGCTCCCCCGCTGGCAGCAAGGATAGCGTCATAGCCAGCGGGGGAGCTCAGTCGCGTCGGGAAACTCTGCGCGCCAGGCGTCGTCAAGACGGGAGAAGCAGCGGGACTGTGTGTGACCAACCTTCCCGCATGTCTGACCAGCGCGGTCACCTATGAAAATGACGTACTGGCAACGAACACCACCCCCAGACGCCCCACGCTGAGCAAACCACTCACGAAGCTCCTGGGGCGTAGGGGTCTCACGCGGAAGCTGCTGCTGCTGCCTCTGACCACCGCGAGAACCTCCCCTCTGACCGGCTCCACCCCGACCGCCACCACTGCCGCCGCCACCACTCCCATTGCCGCCACCACTACCGCCGCCACCACATCCACTGCCGCCACCACCGCCGCCACCAACGCCTCCACTCCCACCACCACTCCCTCCGCCACCACCGCCACCTCCACCACCTCCACCGCCCCCACCACCGCCTCCACCGCTGTCACCCCCACCAACCTTGCCTCCCTTGCCCTTGCCGCTGCGGCGCCTCCCACTAGGAGCAGACGCAGCCCCGACCTCCTCAGCACGAAGGAAGTCAACTGCAGCAGCAGAAGCGGAAGAGGGGGCAAGGGGGAAGGGGGAACACCCCTCAACGAAGGGAGTGCGAGGAGTGCCACGAACAGCACCTACAGCGACTATGCTAGCCTCAGCTGCAAGGAGGTGCTTCTCGAGCAGATCGACAGTGTGGTCGGTGGGGTCCATTGTGAGAAAGAGGTCCCTGACTGTGCTAAGAGAGTCAGGGAGGCGGGTGACTATGTAGTAGAGAGTGGTGTACATGGGGGGAGGGTTCTCGTCTAGAAACCTGGTGGGAAGCGCGACGCGGTAGCGAGTGTCGCTAGTGCGAAGGTGGGTGATAAGGTCGTCGACTGTGGCAAAGGCGGAAAGCTCAGGAAAAAGGTAGGGCAGTATAAGGCGGCCGAGAGCAGTAGTGGCAGGGGAGGAGTAACGAGCGACTACAGCGTCGTACAGGGCCTTAGCAGTCTTGTGCAGCCAAAGTGAGCGCGTTCGGCTAACGGTAAGTGGTTGCGAACGGCTAGGCGAGCAGCAGCGTCACGGGTAAGCCACTGTGAGCGAGTCGCACTGTCAGCTGTGTCGGGAGGGGCGAGAGAGGCTCCAGACGTGAGGTCAAACAACGCCGTCTCTAGAATCGCTCAGTAGGAACAACTGTAAGTCATCGAGCCACGTATCGAACTGGATCGGACGGCCCTCAGGATCGAATGTGAGGACGCTGAGAGTAGCCATAGCGAGCAGAGCAGGGTGGCGCGCGAGCAGCAGGGCAGCATGCAAGCAAGGACGGCGCGACGGGCAGGGTGGCGCGCAAGCGCTAGGGAAGCGTGCAGGGCAGGGTGGGGCGGCGCACAGCTAGGGCAGGGCGGCGCAACTAGCAGGGCATGGCGGCGGCCAGCAGGGCGGCGTGCGGGCAGGGCAGTGCAGGGCGGCACCAGCAGGGCGGCACGCAGGCAGGGCAGGGCAGGGCGGCGGCCAGCAGGGCGGGGCGCGGGCAGGGCAAGGCAGGGCGGCGGCCAGCAGGGCGGCACGCGGGCAGGGCAGGGCGGTGCGGCGGCCAGCAGGGCGGCGCACGGGCAGGGCAGGGCTGTGCGGCAGCCAGCAGGGCGGCGCGCAGGCAGGGCAGGGCGACACGACGGCCAGCAGGGCGGCGCGCGGGCAGGGCAGGGCGACGCGGCGGCCAGCAGGGCGGCGCGCGGGCAGGGCAGGGCGGCGTGGCGCTAGCAGGGCAGCGCGACGGGCAGGGGAGGGCGGCGCGCGACCAGCAGGGTGGCGCGACAGGCAGGGCAGGGCGGGCGGCGCTAGCAGGGCGGCGCGACGGGCAGGGCAGAGCAGCGCGCGGGCAGCAGGGCGGCACGCGGGCTGAAAAGGGCGGTGCGCGACCAGCAGGGTGGCACGCGGGCAGGAAAAGGCGGCGCGCGGGCAGGGCAGGGCGGCGCGCAGCGAGCAGGGCAGCGCGACGGTGAGGGCAGGGCAGGGCAGCGCGACTGGTGGGGTAGGGCGCTACGGGCAGCTAACGAATCGGTGGGCCCTAAAAAAACGGTCCTGGAACAGGACCTGCTCTGAATCCATGTAAGAATACTGAACGAAAATGAATGCATTGAGTAGGAAGTTGGTACAAGTACAACATAACAGTTTGACACTTCGGGGAGGTTACCACCAAATCCGAGTCAATCCACCCGACTGCCCGAAAACCGCCTTCCGCACCCGCTACGGAAGTACACCGTGATGCCATTCGGACTGACCAACGCCCTCGCCACTTTTCAGATGACGATAAACGAGGCGTTCTGCCCGCTCTTAGTTAAGTGCGTCATCGTCTACCTGGATTACATACTGATTTACATTGCCGACAGAACACAGAACCAACATGACATCGAAGCATATTGAAAATTTAGCTGAGAACCGCGTACTGACCAAAGCTTCTAAGTGTGAGTTTCTAGAGGACTGACTAGAGTTTTTGGGCCATGTTATTTCGGCCAACGGCGTGGAGATAGACCCGAAGAAGATCGCGACAATCCAGGCCCGACACGCGCCCACAAACCTGACTGAGCTGCAAGATATCAGCAAACTATTGAGCCCGTGGTGTCGGGTTGTCGGGGTTCGCGTTCCCGTAAACGGTCGGGGCAGTTAACTTCGCCATGTTGGAGACGAACCGGCATACGCACTTGACGAAGCCCATGACGCCGAACCCCGACAACCCGACACCACGGGCTCAACAGTTTGCTGAAATCTTGCATGATGCCCGGACATGAGCACCAGAAGCAATAGAAAAAACGAACGTTCTCGCTAAAAAAAACGCAGATCGCCAATGCCGCCCCGTGGCGTACTAGTCAGGAGACTACATACTACTTGACACCCAGAATTTACGACTTCCCATCACGCCGAAACTTTGCCCGCACTACTGTGGCACGTTCCGGATCAGCCACATGATCACACCCGTCACCGCCCATCTCCTGCTACCTGCCGACTGGTACATCAGCCCATAATTCCATGTCAGCCTCCTTCGCCCGAACATCCCAACCATGAGCCAACTGCCACGACATCGCCCACCATCGATGATGCGTCCTGCATCAGAGCCGATCATCGACCCCGAGAAACTCCTGTGCCATCGGATTCGTCACCCCATGGGAGTTCGGAGATGAATTCCTCTTTCGTTGGAAGGACCGCACCCCCGCGGAAGATAGTTGGGTGCCCCTGGCCAACATCAAATACCACCCTATCCTCCAACTGTACCTGCAAAGCCGGGGATCCCGCGATATACACGCACTCACGTAACGGAGGGGCTTCTTGGGGAGGGGGGTAGTGTAAGGTTTTTTTCGACATTCCTTACCGCGAACCTCAACATCGCGTACAGGACCAACCGTTTCTTCACCCGTTACTGCTAACGGTGTTTCCCCGCCTTCGCGTGCCACATTTGCCAAACCATGCATCGCTGGCCTGGCCCGAGTCGGCCTACGCTTCGGGGCTAGCCCGAACCTCGCTACCATCATCGCACTAGCTAGCTCGCACGCACCGCGTAAACGTTTGCGTTTTCGCTATAAATGTTCGATCATGTCTTCGCTCACATTGTACTCGTTTTCCAACATAGTGCAATCCTCGCTACCTCGATACATTGCACCCGTAACACCTATTATCGTTACGCCTGGTTCGTTCTTCACCGCTAGCATTAGCCGCATTTTGTGGTCGCGTCTAGATCTCAATTCAAAATCTCAGAGCTGTTTTTCAGGGTCGCATCTCAAGGCCACCTTCCTGGCTGTGGCACCGCCCTGGTATGGCAAGGTGTGATGGAGGCAGCACATGCGGGGTTGGTAGAGCAGATGAACGGTTAGGTACCTTGCCGCGATATAGGCGGCGCGGGGCATCGCAAAAAAGGGGAGAGGCGCAGTTGCCGGCAGAGGGGCGAGTGACGGCGGAGAATGGGGAAGGCGCGGAGGTGGGAGGTGAGGAAGCGAGAGACGGAGGCGGAGGCGCGGGAGTGCATGCACGGACGCGGCAGGACGACGTGGCGATGGGCGGAGGGGCGGGGAGCGGCATGATGAGCAGAGGGGCAGGGAGCAGCATGATGGGCGGAGGGGCGGGGAGCAGCATGGTGGGCGGAGGGGCGGGGAGCGGCATGATGGGCGGAGGGGCGGGGAGCAGCATAATGGGCGGAGGGGCGTGGAGCGTGGGAGATGTTTCTTTGGAGCAGCTGATGGGTGTTATCCGATGGTGCTTGAAGTGCGCCGTGGAGGTTGGGGTGACACAGGATTGGTGGAGAGGCCTGGGGAGATGGAGGAGAGAAAGAGAGAGGAAGATGGGAAGGTAGACGAAGAGAGAAATATAGTGAGAGAGGAAGAATGGATGAGAGTGAAGGAGGAAGAACGAAAGAGGGTGAGCGAGGAAGAGCGAGAGAGAGAGTGAGAGATGATGAGAGAGAGAATATCAGAGAGGAAGAGAGGAGGAGGGAATGTTAGAATGTAGAACTGAACGAGAATGAATGAACTAGGCAGCAGGGTGATACAAGTAGGAAACCCTAGCAATGTTGTACCCCCTCAGGCTAAACCCACTATAGCCTACACAATATGAACATGTATAATGTTTGACACACCCCCATAGGCGAAGTGGGGGACAACCAGATGGTCACAAGACCAGTCAAAGCAAAGCAGAGCAAGCTCAGGGTGGACCTCAAGGAAACCACACAAATTCCGAGCACAAGCAAGCGGTCACAAGACCAGTTCACATGCAGTTTGATAAAAACAAGAGGTACAGTGATCACAACCTAGCAAGTGTAAGCATGCATATATATATATAGAGATCACAGTACAAGCAGAGTCAAGAAGTAAGCAAGTGAGGCACAGTGGGCACAAGGCCGAGAACAGTACAGAAACGCTGATGATCACAAGGCTGAAGCGCCTTGGTGAACACATCAGCAGTGTTGGCCCGAGTGGCCACGTAAGCAAGACGAAGCTGACCACGCTGCTGCAACTCTCGAGCAAGGAAGTAGCGCAGAGCGATGTGCTTCGTTCTGTGCTCCAGTCTGTGCTCCTGACACAAGGCAATGGCGGCCTTGTTGTCGACGTACAGCACTGGAGGAGAACGAGGCTGCTCTCCCAGGTCGGTCAGCAGGTAGGTGAGCCAGCGTAACTCCTGTGCAGCCATGGCTGTGGCGTAGATCTCAGCCTCACAACTGGAGCTGAGAACTGAAGACGAGCGTGTAGAACGCCAAGAAACTGAACCAGAGCCAAGGCTGAAGGTGTAACCCTGAGACGACCGCTGCGTAGCCTGGTCGTCAACCCAAGAAGCGTCTGAGTGCCCAGTGAGGACAACGTCGCTCCGTCCTCCAAGCACAAGCCCCATGCCCGACGTACTGCACAAGTAGCGCAACACCCTCTTAGCGGCATCCATGTGCTCCTTCCGGTGACGGCCAGGAGCGACATAGTGTGCTAGGATGCTAAGAGGGTATGCAAGGTCAGGTCAAGTGCAGGTCATCAGGTACATGAGGCAGCCCACAAGCTCTGGATATGGGCCACTCGGCTCTACGGACTCATCCGAAGGCAGAGCTGAGAGCGAGTGACCGGTAGGCAGAGGAGTGGACTGAGGCGAGGAGTACGTGAAGCGGAAGCGCTGAAGGACCTGCTGCACCATGTTTGACTGACTCAAGGTGATGGTGCGCTGTGCTCTGTCCCGGGTGATCCGCAAGCCAAGATAGCTTGTCAGCTCACCCAGGTCTGTGCACGTGTGTCTCTTCTGCAGCTCCGACTTCACGTGGGCGAGTGCCTCAGTGTCAGCAGTAGCAAAGACCAAGTCGTCTACGTACACAAGAACGTAGAACGGCGGCAGAGTGGTGTCGGTGCGTAGAAACAGCGACGGGTCAGCAGTAGGAGGAGCAAACCCAAGAGCAGCAAGAGTAGTCCTCAGTGTGTCGTGCCACTCACGGGGTGCTTGGCGGAGACCGTAGACTGGCCGCCGGAGGCTCCACTGGGTACCAGCAGGGAACGACCCAGTGAAGCCAGGTGGGCGGCGCAGCCAGATCTCCTCGTGCAGGCTGCCCTGTAGGAAAGCCGTGCTGAAGTCAAGAGAGTGGAGCTCGTAGTAAGGCTGAGCGGCGACGTGCAGCAGAACCCGAAGAGTGGTCATCTTCGGGGTCGGGGAGAAGGTCTGGAAGAAGTCAACTCCCTCTCGCTGACTGAAGCCTCGTGCAACGTAACGCGCCTTGAAGACAGGCGGAGAACCCGGCGACCGCTTCACCCTGAAAATCCACATGCCACTGACGATGTTCGCCCCAGGTGGGGGAACCTCGTCGACGTAGGTGCCTGTGGACTTCCAAGAAGCCATCTCTGCGTCCATGGCTGTCTGCCACTGAGAGGAGTAGGGACCCTCTATCGCCTCTGCGTAAGAGCGCGGGGTCGGGATGTCTGGTGCATCCGGGTCTCCCTCAGGGGCAATCAGCATGGACACGAGATGAGGTAAAGCAGCGGCAAAGCACTCAAACTCCTCCTGTCTGTCCTCAAGGACGTCCGTGCCAAGAGCACACTCACCCCCGACAGACGGAGGACAGACAGACTCAGACTCAGCAACAAGGCTAGCGGCGTAGTCTAGACGACAGGCGGCAGCAAAGTCAACAAGCTCAGCAACGAGAGCAGACGCAGCAGTGGACTCAAAGGAAGGGTCAGTAGCGAGAAGACGCGTGACAGTAGGACTGGCAGCACGAGCAAGGTCTGACGGCGGGTCAGCAACGTCAGGAAGAGAGGACGCAGGAGGAGACGGCAGAGGGACACGCTGTGGAGCAGTGGAAGGACGCAGAGTCATATAGTGAGTGCCAAGTACAGGAGGAGGACGCTGACGCGGAGCACGACGACCATCGCGGACAGCGCGGACAGGCGACTCTGGACGAGACTCAGGTGACTCAGGACGAGACTCAGGCGACGCAGGACGAGACTCAGGCTCACGACGCTCCGTAAGACCTCTAGTCGGCCCAGCGTAGGGAGAAGGACCAGGCAGTGGAGAGGCAAGCGGTAACTGTGACTGCGATTGGACAGGTGGTGGACTCAGTAGGGGAGGAGAAGGACCAGTGGAGGGCGGGAGGCCAAGAACCTGCTGAAGGAGCGGAACGTAGTACGGCCGCGGCCGCTCAGCACCTCCTGAACCAGCAGAGACAGCACCAGCACCCTCAGCCCCAGGGTCTCCAGCACCAACTCCCGCAGCACCACCAGCAACCCCAGCAGCTCCAGTACCTCCAGCTCCAACCCCCGCAGCAGCTCTAGTACCTCCAGTACGAGCACCTCCAGAACCAGCGGCTCCAGCAGCTCCAGCACTAGCAGTACCTCCAGTAGCTCCAGCACCAGCAGCACCTCCAGCACCAGCAGCGCCTCCAGCAGCTCCAGCACCAGTAGCGTCTCCAGCAGCTCCAGCTCCAGCAGCACCTCCAGCAGCACCACCTGCAGCTCCTGCGCCAGCAGCACCAGCACCAGCACCAGCTCCAGCTCCAGGGTCCGCGGCACCAGCCGCAGCTCCAGCTCCAGGGTCCGCGGCACCAGCAGCGGCTCCAGCTTCAGGGTCCTCAGCACCAGCAGCAGCTCCAACTCCAGGGTCGGCGGCACCAGCAGCACCACTCCGGAGACTGCAGCGCCGAGCGTACCACTCTCGGAGCTGCTGGGGAGAGGGCGGCTCCCGCCTAGGCGGGGAACCACGAGCACCAGCTCCAGCAGCACCCCTAGCCCCAGAAGCGCCCCTCCTGAGGCTGCAGTACCGCGAGTACCACTCACGCAGCTGCTGGGAAGAGGGAGCGCCTCCAGGCGCAGCACGGTCAGTCGCAGCACCCCCAAGCTCAGTACCCTCAGACGTAGCACTCTCAGGCTCAGCACCCCCAGACTCAGCACCCGCAGGCTCAGCACCCCCAGACTCAGCACCCCCAGGCCCCGCACGCTCAGGCTCAGCACCCCCAGGCTCCACACCCCCAGGCTCAGCACCCCCAGGCTCCGCACCCCCAGGCTTAGTACCCCTAGCAGGACCAGAGTCGACAGCTACCTCGACAGGCTCAACCGGGTCTACCTGGGACACACCTGAGGGAGCGGCACCCTGAGGGGGGAGGGGGTCTACCACAGCAGCACCTGGTGCGAGGAAGAGAGGCGGGGGGGGGGAGCGGGGCAGTGCGGTAGGGGAAGAGGCGGTAGTAGGGGACCGACTCGTCGAAAGTGACGTCCTGAGAGGGCAGGACACGGCGCGAGGTGGCGTGGTAAAACTGCCAACCAGACGCGTCCGGGACAAAGCCAAGGAAGACACAAGGAACAGCGCGGGAGGAGAGCTTGTCCGCGGACGTATTGCAGACAAAAGCACGAGATCCCCAGACCCGGAACACCGACGCATTGCCAACCTTTCCCGTTTAACGCAGTGTCGGCGAAGTCTCCGGAACGGAGACACGGGGCCAGAGGTTGAGCTGATGCGCAGCGTATCGGACCGCAAACGGCCACAGAAAGTGGGGGGCAGCCGCATGGATCAAGGAGGTACAAGCGACCTCCATGACCAAGCCAATGCGGCGCTCAGCAACCCCATTCTGCTGCGGAGAGGCCGGAAGCGTGAACGACTGCTCAATGCCCTCCCCCTGACAGAAGGCCCTCAAGAGGTCGGAGGAAAACTCCCCACCTCTGTCAGAGTGCAGACGCAGGACAGGAAAGTCCGAGTGGAACCTCTCGCTGAGCTGGAGACGGGCAGCGCGGATCCAAGGGATCAAAACATCAGGGACTTCACCCTTGGTGCGCAAGGGGAAGACCGTGGTGTAGCGCGAGTAGTCGTCAACAACTATCAAGAAGTACCTCTCGTGACCCTGTCCACGGACGCGGGCTGGGCCCCACACGTCCATGTGGAGGGTCTGCAGGGGAGCAGTCGTCGGGGGAAACGAGGAGGAGTGAGGAGCGGCGCGCTGCCGCCCCTCGACACAGGGAAGACAGGGAGGAGCAGGCGAGGGTGGGAGGGGAGGGAGAACCCTGGGAAGACCAGAGACAAGGTACCGGGAGTGCATGCCACGAAGGCGCTGCACTGACGGGTGACCAAGGCAGTGGTGCCAGAGGACGGTCTCGTGCGCCAGGGAGCAACACGAGCAGGGGGCCGACAGCTGACCTGACGCAGACGCAGACGCAGCTACCTGAGGGGACTCAGTGGTCAGTGTGTACAGGTCCGACCCCGGCTGCCGAGTGAAGGTAGCCAGGTGGCGACCCGTCCGAGCACACGTGCAGTGTGTCACGCGCTCGTAGGCAGGGGTGAACTGGTGGACACCCCCGTCCTGGAGCGCACGACCCGCCACCAAGTTCGTAGAGAACGAGGGGAGGT